TGATGTCGGACGAGAAGGCCTGGCTCACAGTCTGTGCTCTAATTCATTTCAAAGGTGTTCTATCGGGTTAAGGTCAGGCCAGTCAAGTTCCTTCACCCCAAACTCGATCATTCATGTCTTTATGGACCTTGTTTTGTGAACTGGTGAGCAGTCATGTTGGAACAGGAAGGGGCCATCCCCAAACTCTTCCCACAAAGCTGGGAGCATGAAATTGTCCAAAATGTCTTGGTATTCTGGCGCCTTAAAAGTTCTCTTCACTGGAACTAAGGGGCTAAGCCCAACCACTGAAAAACAAACCCACACCATAATCCCCCCTTACCAAACTTTACACTTGGCACTATGCAGTCAGGCAATTAATGTTCTACCGGCAACCGTCAAACCCAGGCACGTCCATCAGATTGCCAGACAGAGAAGCATGATTTGTCAAGTCTCCACTGCTCTAGAATCCAGTGGTGGTGTGCTTTACACTACTGCATCAGACGCTTTGCATTGCACTTGGTGATGTAAGACTAACCCATTAGCCCCAATAATAATGCTAACCCATTCCATGAAGCTCTCTACACACTGTTGTGCTAATCTGAAGGCCACAGGAAGTTTGGAGGTCTTTAGCTATTGACTCTGTAGACAGTTGGTGACTTCTGCTCAATGTACACTTCAGCATGCGCTGACCCTGCTCTGTCATTTTACATAGCCTACCACTTCATGGCTGAGTTACTGTTGTTCCACTTTGTTATAATAATACTAACAGTTGACCATGGAATATTGAGTAGCAAGGAAATTTAAGAGATGGACTTATTGGACAGGTGGCAACCTATCACGGTACCCTGCTTGAATTCATTGAGCTCATGAAAGCGACCCATTTTTTCACAAATGTTTGTAGAAGCAATCGGCATGCCTAGGTACTTGATTTTATACACCTGTGGCCATGGAGGTGATTGGAATACCTGAATCCTATGATTTGGAGGAGTGTCCCAATACTTTTGGCAATATAGTGTGTATATATATATTAGGTATGCTTGATAAGATGATGGTATAAGCAGGATACTTTATAATCCATTGTTTATTGGTTGCCTCTGGGGCATCACACATTATATTTTGAAGATCTCCAATTTCCATGGATTCCTGTGGTAGGTGTTGGTTTTATGGGGGTTATTTTAAGGGATTCAAGGGGAGATCACTGGCGGCTGCGCTCCCCCCGGGAGCGTGGAGGCGACCGGAGCTGTGTGCTATGTGTTTGCTCCGGTCGCCATCTTGGGCACTTCATATGTGTGTAAGTTATCTACATCCCAGAAAAGAGTTCTTGTGTACATATTAGGCAAATCAGCAACACTGAAGTGTAAAATACAAGCTTAATTTTAGGGATTCTTTTTGAAACCTTCTACTTTGTCCAACTTGGGAGTGCAAGAAGCATATACCTGTCACCCACTTATGTGGCTCTCTGAGTGACCAGCTGAAATAAAACTCAGCACCTCAGTGTATGGAGGCAAATGTCACTCTCTGCTCTGCTTCCCCCCCAATGCAGAGCTTGGTGCCTGAACAGTCAATTGCCATGGCAGAGTGATGTCACATTAGAAACGGGAGGGGAGTGGAGACGCCTGTGTGGCTTCCAACTCTGTGTTGCTTTGGAATGTACACATTGCTTTTGTGTGGAGCTGCTGCAGATAAATGTGGAGGCAGGGAGAAGGCATGGAAGGTATATTTGTGCCCGATACCTTCCCTAATATAATTCAAACTTTCCATGAGTTGGGAAATGTACAGTTTCCGTTTAAACTACAATTGTCGTTAAAACAGTTTGGAGGACTGTCAGTTGAAAAAAAGTTTGATGGGGAAAATCTTGAGTATATTGAAAAATAATACTCACCTGTTTGGCTATTTCTGTAAGAGCAGAGGCTTCTGCTTTCCCAACCTGTTGCACCATTTTGTAGAAAAGACTTTCTTTGTTTTGTAGCAAGTTGTATGGTTCATCAAATTCTTTAACTCTTCCTGAATCAAGCACCTATAGGAACAAAGCCTACAGTTAAAAAAATCACAGCAAATTCTAACCATATCAACCATATTATTTAGGTTATGCAAGAACAATACAGAGCTTCACATAAGAGCTGCACATAAGGGGCTGTCTTTGCACGATCAGAAATGCATTATAGAGGTTGTCTTTGTGTGCTGTGTATAGAAAGGAAAAGGAAAATGACACACATCGCATTTGGAACATTGAGATACACAGCTATACTGTTACAGCACTGTACAGTTCCAATTTTTAATTAATAAAAAAAAATGGCAAATTAAAGTAAATGTTATGTGCCTAGCCTCTTCTTTTAATTAATTAATTAATAATTCGGAGGCAAATACAAAAACAATTAAGGAAAGAAAATAAAATACCATCTCCCATCAGCATTTAATTTTATATATAACAATTATTTGTTCCTCTAAACGATCACAAGATATACAGTTAATGCCTGTGGATGAAAATGCTTTAATTTTTTTTTTCGTAGCAAGGTAACTAAAACGTCAGTTGGTTTATTAAAAAAGTAAGCAACTGCATTATTTCCAGTTGTTTACAGCTGCTGAAGGGCAAGGAGGGAGCAAGATTCCAAAACTGTGATTCACGTCTCTCACAATTTAATTTGCATTTTTACACACAAATAAAACTTGCCAGTGAGCTTAGGAGCCTATCCTGACCTAGGTTAAAGTTGAAACTCACAGCAATCTGTAATTTTGGATTGTAAATCATAGTCAAAGCAATTTTCTTTAAAGCATTTTAAAGTAATTTGATCTTTTTTATCTGCCCACACAATAATTAAGACATCTTATAATTTGACATTCCAATTTAGCAGAGCTATAATACATTATTTTGTGTTGTTGTTTCTTTCTTTTTAGTAGATGACAGCAGTGTGCCAGTACACACAGACCAAATGACACTGGAAAATTTGTTCTCTCCACATTTTAACTTTTATAATAAGAATAAAAACCCCAGTCATGCAAAGGCTGTTTTGTGACACTCTCATGTCAACAACACATTAATCACAAGGTATTATTCAAAATGTGACTGTCTTGAAAATAAAGATGACTGTACCTGTAAAGAAGCATATACTTCTGCTGGCTGCATTGGCTGAAGTCTTCTGCAGGAACCAAAAACTCTGGGAGTCCCTGCAGCTCTGTTTCCCCCTGTTGACCTTCAAGTCACTGCAGGGCACAGTAGTGTTGGTTCTTGCTGAAGACTTCAGCTGACGATTTCTCAGGATAGGAGAGCTGTTCAAAAGTGCAGGACAGGTACTAATATGCTTTTTTTCTTTACAGGGCTGTACATAAATTATAGGCATTTATATTTTCAAGGCTGGGTTGCTTAACTTTATCCCCGGTTTTATCCCTTTCATGACCAGGGCATTTTTTTGCTATTCAGGACTGTGCTACTTTAACTGGTAATTCCTCAGTCTTGCAACACTCTACCCAAATGAAATTTATTTCATTTTTGTTCACACAAATTGAGCTTTTTTTTGGTGGTATTTGATCATCACTGGGTTTTTTACTTTTTATTATATAAACAAAAAAAGGCACACACTTAAAAAAAAAAAACAATGCTTTCTACTTTATGTTATAAACTGTATCCAATAAAAAAAATGTATAAAAAAAATCAAATTTCTTCATAAATTTAGGCCAAAATGTATTCTGTTGCATGTTTCTGGTTTGTGTGAAAGTTAAAGCGTCTACAAATTATGGTGTATATACCGAAATGTATGCGGCTATGATGCTAAACTGGTAAAGGCAGTGATCAGCGATTTATTGTGGGACTGTGATAGTGTGGTTGACAATCTGGCACTAACAGACCCTTGCTGGGAGGTGCACTAACTGACATTTACATCAATAGTGACATTAATACAGTGATCAGATATAACACTGTATACTATCACTGTACTAATGACATTAGCTGGGATGGGGTAAACATCAAGGGGTTATCTGTGTGCCTAAAAAGTGGAATGTGTGCTGCTTTAACTAAGATATCTCTGCTTTGCAGGGAGAAGAAACAGCCACATCACTGATCTGTGTACAGAGCCCTGTGTGTTTGTAAGCACAGGACTCTGTGCTGTGATTGGCTACAGCTGATCAGCAGATATCAGCCATAAATCATTGGCCGGGGACCTGCTGACAAAATCTCACTGTGGACAGTGACAGCACAGGTCAGCAGGGGGCACAAGGAAGAGCACCCTGAACCCAGAAGAAGCTGGAACAGGTACATGCACTATATTGCCAAAAGTATTGGGACGCCTGCCTTTACACACACATGAACTTTAATGGCATCTCAGCCTTATTCCATAGGGTTCAATATTGAGTTGGCCCACCCTTTGCAGCTATAACAGCTTCAACTCTTCTGGGAAGGCTGTCCACAAGGTTTAGGAGTGTGTCTATGGGAATGTTTAACCATTCTTCCAGAAGCGAATTTGTGAGGTCAGGCACGGATGTTGGACAAGAAGGCCTGGCTCGCAGTCTCCACTCTAATTCATCCCAAAGGTGTTCTATCGGATTGAAGTCAGGACTCTGTGCAGGCCAGTCACGTTCCTCCACCCCAAACTCACTCATTTATGTCTTTATGGACCTTGCTTTGTGCACTGGTGCGCAGTCATGTTGGAACAGTAAGGAGCCATCCCCAAACTCTTCCCACAAAGTTGGGAGCATGAAAATGTCAAAAAATGTCTTGGAATGCTGATGCCTTAAGAGTTCCCTTCACTGGAATTAAGGGGCCAAACCCAACCCCTGAAAAACAACCCCGCGTCATAATCCCCCCTCCACCAAACTTTACACTTGGCACAATGCAGTCAGGAGAGTACCGTTTTCCTAGCAACCACCAAACCCAGACATGTCCATCAGATTGTCAGACAGAGAAGCGTGATTCATCACTTTAGAGAACACATCTCCATTGCTCTAGAGTCCAGTGGTGGCGTGCTTTACACCACTGCATTTGACGCTTTGCATTTGCACTTGGTGATGTAAGGCTTGGATGCAGCTGCTCGGCCATGGAAACCAATTCCATGAAGCTCTCTACGCACAGTCACAATGATTACAAATTGGTACTAAATACTGTACATATATATATATATTGCCAAAAGTATTGGGACGCCTGCCTTTATACCGTATCCCAGTCTTAGTCCGCAGGGTTCAGTATTGAGTTGGCCCACCCTTTGCCCACAAGGGTTAGGAGTGTGTCTATGGGAATGTTTGACCATTTTTCCAGAAGTTCATTTGTGAGGTCAGGCACTGATGTCAGACAAGAAGGCCTGGCTCACAGTCTCCGCTCTAATTGCTGCTGAAAAACAACCCCACACTGTAATCCCCCCTCCACCAAACTTTACACTTCACACTATGCAGTCAGGCAATTACCGTTCTCCTGGCAACCGTCAACCCCAGACACGTCCACCAGATTGCCAGACAGAAAAGCATGATTTGTTACTCCAGAGAACAGATCTCCACTGCTCTAAGTCCAGTGGTGGCTTTACACCACTGCATCCCACTTGTGATGTAAGACTAACCCATTAGTCCCATTAATAATGCTAACCCATTCCACAAAGCTCTCTATGCATTGTTGTGCAAATCTGAAGGCCACACGAAATTTGGAGGTCTTTAGATATTGACTCTGCAGACAGTTGGTGACTTCTACGCACTATACACTTCAGCATACGCTGACCCTGCTCTGTCATTTTATGTGGCCTACCACTTCATGGCTGAGTTGCTGTTGTTCCCAGTTGCTTCCACTTTGTTATAATACCACTAACAGTTGACCGTGGAATATTTAGTAGCAAGGAAATTTCACGGATGGACTTATTGCACAGGTGGCAACCTATCACGGTACCACGCTTGAATTCACTGAGCTCCTGTGAGTGACACATTCTTGCATGCCTAGGTGCTTGATTTTATACACATGTGGCCATGGAGGTGAATGGAACACCTAAATCCAATGATTTAGAAAGCTGTAGCAATACTTTTGGCAATATAGTGTATTTGTGAGTCAGCCTGGCTGTCATCTGCCTGCAGTAAATGTACTGTGGGCGGGTGGCACGCAGTTAAAAAATATGTAAACCCATTGTTTCATATTCCTGATTATGTGCCTGCTGTGCCATGCACTTGTATGAAAAAGTATCCTGTTCTCTTTGTATTGCTCCCTTTCTGTGAAATCCCTGGTGTTTCTGCCAGTCCCCCTTCTTTCCTAATAAAAAAAGTGACAACAATAGGCATAAGAGCAGAGTGTGGTCAGTTTTCTGGCTATTCTTGGAGCTAAGCCAATGATCAAGCTTGTGCGGACTTGCCCCCCCCCCTTGCACAGCCATTTACTGGGAAGATTAGTGTACTGCTGTTTCTCCTCCAATTATCCTTCAAGTGGACATAGTACCAAAAAAATGTTTCTTCATGTTAAATGCACAGGTGCCATTGTATTTACGTTGTTCAGGCATTTTATTGCTTTTCGCTGATATCATTGCACTCCTCCTAACAATGCCTTTGCCTGCGTTTCTCTCTAGAAGGCCAGTACCATCATTGTTGAGGCATTATCCAGAGTACTGGCATTTGGATAATATAATCAGGCAAATCCTGCTGCATGTGCAGTTTTTAGCTGTGTTCACAAGATGTCTCACAGATCAGCTCCCTGCTGCAGCTTCTCAGCTTGCCCCTTGCTGCAAGGTTACAAATGTACCATGCAGGTGGTCACTGGGGAAAAGCAGACTGAAGAAATGCTTCCTCCTGCCTGCAGCAGCAGACTGATGACTTCATTCTCCCAGATTCCTTTTTAACGTAGGCATAGTTACTAGAATGACACTCAACAATGTATTTTAAATGTAAAGATTTTCTAAAAAGAAAAAAAAAAATCATACCATTGCTGTAAACACATCAGCAATTTACTTTTTAAAGCTACTAATAGTTCTGTTGTGAATGCTAATTCTTAAAAAGGAATTTTGCTTTCCCAATGAAATTGTCCTTTTTTTGACAATTACCTTTTGTGTTCTTATGCTGCATTATTATACTAATATCCAGTGCTAGTATCTAGTATATAATATCCAGTACCATTCTCTTCTCATGCCCTTCTCTACTAATACAGGTCCAGTCCCACACTGATATTTTCATTGTATATGTCATGGGGGGCTGTCTCTTCCTGGTTTCCCCAAATACGTGGCACCAGATTTCTGTGCATGTGCTAGATCTAACCTCTGTTAACATGAGTGAAAGGTAATGCTTCCTGGATTATCAGCATCCCAAGGTACAGCAGCAGGAGAATAAAATATTCCTGCCTAGGTGAGAATGTGGGTAGGGTGTGGGCCAGATAAAAACATTTAAAAAACAAAGTGTTGCTGCTGTGTAAAATGACATTTACAGATAGTCTACAAGTGTCACTGAGTAATACAGTGCAGCAGTTTTATCCATATGTAGGTCAAAGGGGTGACTTTTGACTTGCGTATGACATTCAGTTAAACAGACCTTGCAAGTAAAAAACAGACCTTGCAAGTAAAAAACACAAACAAAATATATACAGCAGGGAAAATAAGTATTGAAGAAGTCATCATTTTTCTCAGTAAATATATTTCTAAAAGTGCTATTGACATGCAATTTTAACCACATATCGGTAACAACACATTTTACTCGCTGTATATATATTTTTAAAATAAAATGTATTTAACCCCCTCATTAATTAGCCATAATCAGTCTTAATTGACCTCTTCTTTCCCTTCACTATTTCTCTTAGGTTTTTTTTTTTGTTTCTGTTTGCTTAATCATTAATCAGTCCTAATGAACTCTTTCACTATTATGTTTTCTGCTGATTTGTTTTATTTCTATTTTCTTCATTAATATTTTAAAATTTTACAATATCATTCATATTGATTATTATTGTTTTCAGTGTCCCATAAAACAGCACAAACTTTTTTTTCAGTTGCAAATAACTTTGCCATGCTTTGTATCTGCATTCTCCGGCTGTTGAGTGCTGGTGCCTCCATCTTGACTAAGGCAAACCGGCAGTGAAGCCTTCCTACTGCGTATGCGCAAAGCATGCTGCGCTTTGTGATGGGTCGCAGACCTCTAGGACCTGTTGAGTTTCCCAGAGGGCTGGGGGGGGGGGGAGCTGTGGCCAAACTTCAGGCTCGATTTGATTCAGTGAACTGACAGAGAAGTGGAAGCGGGTACCAGTCAAAACAAAAAGGGGCCAAGAGTGGCAGAGAAGGGGGCAAGAAGGCAGATAAGTGGAGCATCCACTTTTGGGTGGAACTCTGCTTTAACCAGGACGAATGATAGAATAAAACGTATGCTTCTTATTGACTGCTCAAAGTGAAAAAAAACACACACTAATGTATTTAGACTACATAAAAAATAAAATAATTTTTGTAAAAGAAAATTGCCAAAATAATCTCGTGTTTTCAAACTGACGGGCATCCAAATGCCAACTGAGACAGCGGCCTTTCTTCTCCATCTGACCCTATCTCTTTGAAACGCTATACTCCCTAAAACTACATATTCTGAATGCGGCAAAGGCGTCCATCCAGTTATATTGGAAGCAAACAGTCTGGCTGCCCAGACTGTGGTTCGCTAAGGTAAACAACCTTACCAAGCTGAATCACTTACAGTATCAGCCAATTCCAGGGAGAATGCTTGGCGAGAACATGGTTTTATTGGAATGAGTTCACCTGTTCTTCGGAATACCAGTGTATCCTATGGTCGCAGGTGTAACCTCACCCGCAGTGTGCCTCAGGAGATTAATTACATTCAAGATGGCCAAGCATGGCTATAAGGAGCTCAGGCGTCACACAAATGCCAGTCTCCCCCCTTCCCATTCACAACACATTTTGCCTTATCTCCTCTCCCCCCACCATGCCTGTCTCTTAGACCTTTTTATGTTTGTTCATCTCATATTCCATCTCATAAAATTAGCCTAAGCAGCTAAGTTTTTTTTCCCCTTTTTCAATATTTTGCTATTGTTTTGCCATACAAGGGAAGTTCCCAACTGATGGCACCATTTTGTATGAACAAGCTATGTATTATGTATATGCACATGATGTACTTGTTCTTCAATGTATGCTGTCTTTATTCTTACTTGAAAACAAAATAAAGAATTAAAAAAATGAATCTCTTGTTTGTTTAAAAAAACAAATGTGGGAATTACTTTATCTTGAGTAATGACAAAAATATTGCCAAATAAACAGGTCCATAATATAATTTGTAAAAGTCCATAGGGTTATACTGGTATGAGAGCTAAAGTGGTAAAACTCTGTAATTGTTTTGGATATGCATATATGTTAATATTTTTAAGACATTTGTATGCATAATTTGAATTATATTTCTCCAAGCCAACAGACAAATTTGCTTATCACAAAGCAGAATATGCTTCCCGCTTATTACTGCTACACACTAATTGTGCTTAGCTATTTCGATCTAATAAATGCAAATCTACCACTGTTATTAGGTATGTGCAGTATACTACCTTATGTACAGTATACCTATCAACTAGAGAGGAAATGTAAGTCTGTAAAAGAAATACCAACATTAAAATAATAAATATGATAAAATCATAAAGATAAATTATTTATAACAAATTATGGATTTCACACTATAGTTTTCCTTTAAACAGACCTATGGTCTAACATAAGGGTGTAGTGTTTACCTGCCCTGAAGAAAGAAAAATAACTTGGGTATCCCTCCAGCAGTGAGTCATGTGACCCATACCATGGCCTAAGAATGGGTCAGTATCTAGGCAGAGTTGTTGATTGGCTAGCTCAGCCTATCTGCCACCTTTTGAAGAGAGCAAGTGCACAATGCCTTTACACTGTAAGTTGTAGAAAGAATGGACCTGTGTTTTTTTAAACAAGGTAAAGCTCTACCTTACTCTAGTACAGCGGGACTGGCAAAATATGACAAAAGGCCACTTCATGCACTAATGCTGCTCTAAAAAAATGTTGACTCAAAAAGTAAAAAAAAAAATTATTTTCCTTTATGGTAAAGATATTATATGGTAAAGGAAAAAAAAAAATCATCATTATTCAAAAGAAACTAAGGGGCCCATCAACAAAGTAATAGCTTTTCTTTACAACAAAGACTCTTTAAAAAAACTTTTGGATGAATATTTTCAATTACCAAATTTGTTAAAGAGGTAGGTAAAAAGCAAAAGGTAGTGCACACTAATATTTTCCAACTGACATTTTCTGGCCAGTTATGCAGTAGAAAAGATAGCCAAATGTCACTTTTCAACGTCCTTTGACAGACACTGCAACCAGCCAAGAATAATAGGCTACTGAGAATGAACTGCATAAGTGTCCAATATGTCAGGTATTTGGGCTATTTTACACATACTTTTGCAAAGTGATTACATTTTGTAAATACATTTTGGTTTAAGTCTTACTACCTCTTTGCAGGGAAACAATAATAGTTTGGGGTTAACATAAGTTATTTTTTCCAAGGTAAACTATTTTTAAACTGTTTATATTTCTTTTACTTTTTAATTGTCAAATTTATCACAGGATACACTAAAACACTAATGTTTGCAGAACATGTGGGTTTCCTAAAGAGAGAGCACACTTATTTGTCAATCATTTGTGTTTAATTCGAGCTTAAGGTACTCACCTCTGTAAACAAGAGGCTTTTTCCCAAAACACAGGTAAATTGTACAGGCACTAGCCAAATGCACCCCCAAACCTCACTTTCTGGCTCTAGGGCATGTTCCAGCATTGTATTATTCTTTCCCTTGTTCCTGTAGTCAGAAATATTTTTTTTCTATTACTTCATGTGACCTCTCCACCATGCTTTTAAAATTTGTGAAAGGAAAGCTGTTGGAAGCTCAGTCCCTACTAACTTTGGTGTGCCCACAGAACCACATCCCCCAACAGTCCTTTCCCCACATTCAGAATGTGGGCAGGTTCTTA